TCCAGCACACCGGGGGGGGGGGTGGGGGGGGGAGAGGGGGGGACAAGATGGATGATTGTTTGGTTGTGACGATAAATCTCACCGCTCGTGCTCAGCAGTAAGAAGCGACATTGAGCTAAACAACGGCCGAACTCCGGAGCTTTAATTCACGGCGACATCACTTCCAGCGGCTTATGTTTTTAGAACGGGCTCGACTGCAGCAATCCAATACTACCTCAGGTTGGTGACACGACCTGCCCCCTGCCCACCCCTGCCCACCCCCTGCCACCCCCTGCCCACCCCCTGCCCACCCCTGCCCACCCCCTGCCCACCCTGCCTACCCCTGCCGCCCCCCCTGCCCACCCCCTGCCCGCCCCCCTGCCCACCGCCCCCTGCCCCCCCCCCTGCCCACCCCCTGCTACCCCCTGCCCGCCCCCCCTGCCCACCCCCTGCCTACCCCTGCCCGCCCCCCCTGCCCACCCCCTGCCCGCCCCCCTGCCCACCCCCCCTGCCCGCCCCCTGCCACCCCCTGCCTACCCCCTGCCCGCCCCCCTGCCCACCCTGCCCCCCCTGCCCACCGCCCCTGCCACCCCTGCCTACCCCCTGCCCACCCTGCCCACCCCCTGCCCACCCCTGCCTACCCCCTGCCCACCCCTGCCTACCCCCTGCCCACCCCTGCCCACCCCCCTGCCTACCCCCTGCCTACCCCTGCCTACCTGCCCCCCGCCTACCCCCTGCCACCCCCTGCCTACCTGCCCCCCCTGCCTACCCCCTGCCTACCCCTGCCCACCCCCTCCTACCTGCCCCCCCCTGCCTACCCCTGCCCACCCCCTGCCCACCCCCTGCCTACCCCCTGCCTGCCTCCCCCCCCTGCCTGCCCCCTGCCTGCCTCCCTGCCTGCCTACCCCCCGCCTGCCCCCTGCCTGCCTACCCCTGCCTGCCTACCCCCTGCCTACCCCCTCCTGCCTACCCCCTGCCTGCCTGCCCCCCCCTGCCTCCCCCTGCCTGGCTACCCCCCGCCTGCCTACCCCCCCCTGCCTACCCCCTGCCTGGCTACCCCCCGCCTGCCTACCCCCGCCTGCTACCCCCGCCTGCCTACCCCCGCCTGCCACCCCCTGCCTGCCTACCCCCTGCCTGCCTGCCCCCTGCCTGGCTACCCCCTGCCTGGCTGCCCCCTGCCTGCCTACCCCCTGCCTGCCTGCCCCCTGCCTGCCTACCACCCCCCTGCCTACCCCTGCCTACCTCGTGCCTGCCCCCTGCCTGCCTACCCCCCGCCTGCCTCCTCCCCATGTATTCTATCACACACACATACTCAGCAATGAGATCCACTGGGTTCTTTAATCTGTTCTGCAGCATTTCATGCCGTGGTGATTTAGTCAGGTGGGGCTATTACCTGCACAATAAACAGCCCACACACAGAGGTTAGTTAAGCATCAATTCGGTGAAGACAACAGAGGTGTGACCTTTGAATCGTGCTGACATGTGCGCTCAGAGTATTCCTGTCTGTATCTAATCTGCATCACGGCGATGCGCTGGGGCAGGCGAAGGCAAGTGCTGCAAAGTCAACTTTTTAAAGCAATAAAGATTCCTGAATACATCCAACCAACACGACTCAACTTCCCCAAACGCATTCCTCGCCCGTCTCCCCAGTTCCACTGTCCGCAACCTCTACATCATCAAAAACTACTCCCCAACTCCAATCTCAGTACGTCGCTGACCCAGGCCTCGCCGGGCTCTGCTGGCTCCCAAATTCCCAATGAATCAACTTCAAGCTCCTCACCCTTCACGACGACAACAAACCCACAGTCCAGCACCTCTCCATCTCTCTGATGGTTTCCTACCTGCTTGCCTCCGCTGCTCGCCTCGTCTGCTCGCTCCCGCACCTCAACCACCCCACCATCGGTGGCCAAGCCTTCAGCAACCGCAACCCAACATCTACAACTACGTGCATTACGCAGAACATAATAATAGTAATAATAAGCCTTTCGTTTAACACAGAATATGGAAACATCTCACTGCTTCACAGTAACTGCTGAGAAGCGCACTGACTTGCAGGTAAATTCTCAGCCAAACAGCCCAACATGAGTTGAACCTTCTGGTGATGGTGAGGATTTATCTTTTCACACAGTGTCAAGGAAACTTTGACGTCCACCCGAACATGGTAGGGTTAGGGTTTCAAAGACATAGAAAAAGGAGTAGGTTATTCAGCTCCTTGAACCTGTTCCGCCATTTTATAAGAATATGGCTGATGGTTATGTATAGACAATACTTCGGTTTAACATCTCATCTGGA